TTTTCTGTGCCCATTGCCAATGGGAAGTGAAGCTCTTTTACCGCACCTAGAACGAGAAATGAGACAAGAACTACAGTCTAGATCTAGAAATATCACAAATCCAATTAAGATAATTTGTAGTTGTATAATAAGCACAGTCTTATTTGATTTCCCTTTCGGTGATCTGATTGCGCTGCTGTCTTGTTGCCTCGCGTAGGCTATTGCAGTGACCTCGTTTTAAACTCGCCTCCACATTAAGTGAAAGTTGGACTTTGCAATTATCTGATCGTATTGTTAACATTGTGACATTGTTGATCCCTTTGGTCGTGCAGAGAAAATTTGGCAATTAGCGAAAATAAAAGTAAAATTCGCTTCTGAAGAGAATACTATAAAGCGATATCAGGGAGACCAAACTTTGGTTCCGAATGAGACAGTTTTAAATCAAGCTGTTGAAAATGTGTGCACATCTGATTTGTCCACTGACTGTGTAGTATTTAGCCAAGCGAGGAAGGGAAAAGAAGGACATTTACCGAGTTACAATTGGGATATAACAAACACCTAACTTTATACGTATAATAGCTAGTTTGTATACGTCTTATTTTTATTTGTAGTAACCAGTACACAGTCATTACTGTCAATAATACGTCACAACTGACCATCGCCTATGCCCAAAAACGTTCACGAGTGTAAGGGAAAACGACGAACCGTACCATTCGTCGTTTTCCCTTACATCGCAAGGCTCACCTGCGGCGCGCAGTGTAAGGGAGAACGACGAATGTCGAATAACTTTGTTACTTTTTAACCTAAACCATTCAAACTTTAGAAACTGCTCTATGAACACCTCAATCAGATATCTGGTGAATCACAGCTTAAAAGAGTGAAAAATAGAAGAGTTATAAATGGAAAACTGTTTTTGCCTCTCCTGAAAAATTTACCTCGCTACCTGCGCAGGACCATTCGTCGTTTTCCCTTACGACGGCAGATTTTCAGACTACACCCCCGCTGGGGAGGCCTGATTATTCTAGTAAGCCGTGCACCCAGAACACACACAGAGCACACACAGAACACACCCACCGTGTAGTGACACACACATAACACACACAGAACACACCCACCGTATAGTGACACACACAGAACACACACAGAGCACACACAGAACACACCCACCGTGTAGTGACACACACAGAACACACACAGAACACACACACACCGTGTAGTGACACGCACAGAACACACACACAGAACACATACAGAACACACCTGCCCCAGATACCACTGTTCCAGCACATAATGACACATGTTGGGCACCACACAGAACACGCCCACTAGCAGGTCCGCCAGAGCCAGGTTGCCCAGGA